TTCTGCGAAAAATTCGTTGAACTTTGGAGACATCATTAATAGAAATAATTTTTATGGCCGTTGAATAAGAAATGTTTTATTCACAAGAAATGTATAAAATTACAGTACTGTATTAGACTTACAGTACCTAATTTATATACTGTACAGCAGGGGCGTGCCGTGACATTTGATGATAGGGAAGCTATGTTTCTGTAAGCCGACATCCAGGGGCAATCAGTCAATTGTGCGTCAGTGATGGTCTAGGGTCCATTCGTATCGTTTATTCGATAAGCCAGTAAAAACCGTAGACTTCTCTAAATGCATTTTTAATATCACAATTACATTCCGAATTGCTAGCCACGATATAAGGGCTACAATTAAAAATAAAATAATAAAAACTTACTTGGTGAAATAAAATATGTGGTGGATGTACTGGTGTGAAATGTTCAACGCGGACAGGTAAACACATACACGTTTTACCAATTAAACGAGTTTAATTTCGCGCTGAATTTGAATTATATATACAGAATATGTTCGGATTCTCGCTGTTCTCCTTCAAACGGTTCCACAATCTTCAGTGACCAGGTATATCAATAGACGGTAAAAGTTTATCCTTACTGCATGGGCCGTTTTTTTCTAATTTTGCTCTCTTTAGACACCTCTCTAGTAGACGTGTCCTAAACACATAGAATTATTTGCCAGTGACATTGACTAGGCACGACAGAACAACAAAACTTTGGACAGACAATTAAATGGTCAGTAATGACGATTGTGATATTTAGTGCCTTCTGCAGTTGGAGACTCAGATCATCCTTGTGATCTAAGAAGAAAAATTTGCTTTTTTGGTGATATACCACATCTTAAGTAGGCAAGGAACCATTTCTTGGATCATGGCTTTTTGTATAGAGACAGTTTAATAGATGGAAGACACATCGAACCAATTCTCACAAATTCATTATCTGCTCACCTGTTTTGCAAATATCTATTAAATATGCCACCTTAAAAAAAAAATAATAGAGGAGAAGGTGATATTATGGAACCCCAATTACATTATAGTGAATTGTAAACAAGGTATCATAACTACACCCACATTTTTTGTGCAAAAAGTACTGGTAACTAGTAAACTNTGTCTTATTATTATTATTATTATTTTAAATCGAGAAAGTGAAAAAATTCAATTAAAATCATCTTTCATAGATCAGAATTGAAAACGTGATTTTTAGGAAAAATTCTAGGTCTTAATAAAGGAGAAAGAAAAACAAGAATAATTTTTCATGATGCCTTCAATGTTACGAACTTGACGAAAAGAATAATTCATCTTTATTCATTTTAGGCATTTTTTTTAAATTTTGCTATATTCAAAGAAATGTTTTATCCTGGTCACGAAAAAGAAACATGAATTAATTTTTGTGAATTTTTATATCTTATTATTACTTTTTATTTCCAATGTAATTTTAAATTATTTTATCTCCTTGTTTATGTGTGGTATTTATATTTATACCGTATTAGGCTAAAGTCTTCTCAAATTTTCTTATAATCTTATTCTATAAGATTATAAGATTTTTTCAATACAGAAAATTCTAGTCAAGTGTAATATTTTTAGAACACTTTTTCAGATTTTGAATTATTTGAAATCGCAAACTGTTTAATTAGTTGTGATTCCACATATATTATACGCAGGTCGAAAGGATCTGGTCTTCATTCTGGGCAAGAAGAATCCACGAAAGGTCTGAAAAAGGCCCCGTAATAGCCCCAGGATACCAAAAGCTAAAATAAACAAATAAATAAGTATTTTTTCCATGCGAATTCCCAAAGTCTGACCTTTGAGCATTCAAGTTCTACATCTCGAGATCCATTTTCAGACGTTGATAGTTAAATTATTCTCGAGATGAATTCTTATCATTCAGTAATTATTAGTACATTTTTTAATGATTAGTTTTGTAATTTATTTTATATTTGTTTTAAAAGTAAAATTAAGTATAAGAAGTAGACTATATGAAAATATTAGAGTTTAAAAAACATTTTCTATCCTAGTTCTGTTCTAATGCCACGTAAATTTTTTAAAGATAATTTACTCTAGCGTCATGTCAATTTGTATGATAGTTCATAAATGCTTTTAGAACATTCAATATGTAAATTCGTACATTCAAGAATGACTAGATCGCCAGACATGAGCATACCCTCTGAGTATGCTGATATCTAGCGATCTAGGAATGAAATTTAGGCATGGACGGCATTGCAGTTTTCCTAAAATGTAGAATTTAAGTAATAATTTTATGCTTTTTTCATTTTGTTGCTTTTCGAATTAGGCTATACATATGTACGAAGTATTCCCAATATTCTTAAGCTTTCTAATGTTCTTGATACATTTTTGTCGCTAGCTTATGATTAAAAAGCGGAATGTAAGGATCGTAGCAGATAAATTTTTGTCAGTTATTAATTAACATATTCAAATAACAGATACTTTTCATTGCCATTTACTGCTTTTCAAAATTTGCAAGCGATTTTCATTGAGATAAATTTAAGTAAAATTCTATCGATCATACCTGTTAATGGCCGATTTAAATTTCTTTAGTTATAAACTATTAAATATTGTATGAATTGTCGATAAAAATAATATTTACAATTAATGATGCTCATATTTAATTTAAACTTAATATTCATGATTAAATGAAAGGAATATGTTTATATATAAAAATCCATTGCAACGTACCATTCTATTATGAAATGTATTAAAATCTTTAACAAAAACTTTTTTCAAAATCTGAGGATCTGCAACACAAAGTTGTGGTTTAAATCCCATAATTCTCCTACAAAATACAAAAAATACGAATTTGAGAAATTATCCAAAATATTATAGAGGAGAAGGTGGTATTATAGAACCCCAATTACATTTTAGTGAATTTTAAACAAGGTATCATAACTACACCCACATTTTTTGTGCAAAAAGTACTGGTAACTAGTAAACTAAATGTTCCTAATTGGATTTTTCGCTAGTGTAATTATAAGTATGGTTTTTGAAGGCTTTTGTACAAAAAGTCCGAAAAAATCAAGTGGTAATATGGAACCTTACTGTATATTTTTAAAAAAATGCTTTAATGTAGCCAAAAACAAATAGGAAAGGGCAAAAAATGTTAAATAATTACAAAATTATTTACTCCAATGTATTTTATCGCAAAAATTCTTTTATAATAGAAAAATATGACCTTCATCAACAATATATATTCCAGCAGCTTTTTTTTCGATATTCTCAGGAAGAATTGACTTTCTACCTAGTGTCTTTTTCACAAATTGCTCCGGAGGAATGTGTGCTTGCAAATAGAAAGTTCGAAGGAGTTGAGTTCCATATTACTGTAAAAGCACCAATGGGGTCCGTATTTCACGCATCGCCATCTCGAATTAACTTATGTCTGTCAAGACCAAATTTTAAAAAACGTGAACATCACACAGATTAATATGTACCCCTAAGTCTCTGGAATGAATACATGCACCAGTGAACCTACAACTTCACGATTTATATTTTAAAAATAATTAAATTCACTTAGCATTCAAAACTTGCGAATTTTGAAAAAAAAATTTGCTGATTAAATGCAAACAACTGTTTAACTGAAGTAAAACGGGTTTTCCCCTTGCTATTGATGTCTGCCTAGTTCAGTTCAGCCACATTCCGCTGCAGTTCGCCTTTATTATCAGTTCGAAATGGGATGGTTCCATAATACCCGCAGTGTTCCATAATACCACCTTCTCCTCTATTAATTAATTAATTAATTAATTAAAAACATTAATAATGTTTTTGTTCTTTTATATTTATTACATGCAGATATATTCAAAAAGTCTTTAGGATTTATAAAGTTAACAATATGATCATTATTTACACCACACATCATATCACAACATTGCTTCAATGTTGAATTTTAAGAAATGAGCTCATCTTTAAAGTGAATGCGATAATTCTATCATTAACAATTTTGTTCGTGATTATAATTTTTGAAATTTTATTTAGTTTTTTTTTAGAATTTGTTCAAAACATCTTTGACATTTATTACTATTTGTGGCATACAAAAGTAATATAGACATAGAGGATGTTTATTAATATAATAACACAACATGAAAATCCTTTAAAAAACTTTTTAAATCATTTATTTGTAAGTTTTTACATAATTTAGATATATTATTTTTATTAATTTTATATCTGCGAAAGCTTTTATTCTTTCGCTAAAGTCTATTTTCCGAACATCATTTCCAATGGTTAACAAAATTTTAATCTCTCACCCACCATTGTCAATCGCAAATACGTTTTGAAAAGTTTTAATTTATTAAAACTTTTTTCATCTATTTCTACCGTTACAGAGATTATCAGTAGAATTCTCAACGCAACGTGAGTTGCATTGAGAATTCTGCTGATAATCTGTAAAAACTGTAGAGTTTCTAGCGGCAAATTGATGTTTTCCGGGAGTAAACTGTTAAAGATTTAATTTCTTTAAAGAGTTCGTCAATGCTATTTTCATCATTAAGAATTAAATGCTAGTACAATGTTTTTTTTTTTAATTCGTTTAAATCATCTATTTTAATTAAATTAAAAAGAAAAAGTTAATGCATTGAAACAGATTTTTGAAAAAGTTTGATTTTCATGTTTATGATGCTTCATGATGTCCGCATTTTCAAATGTATCGTATATCTTCCAATAGACATCTGGGGATCTATTCTGAACTCTTCCGATAACTCAACGAGAGCGATACACGTACATTCGATAAGTCCCCTTAGCGAAAGGCACTTAACGAACCTTAGACAAATCGCTATTCTGTGCTTCACGTTAAGTGGGTTTCGCTAAGGGTAGTCGGTCGAGATGCGTCTGGGTTCCACGCTATCGATAGCTATTACGCTTTAACCAATCACAGTTTAATTAACATTGTATTTTTGTTACGTGACTGCAATCCGCCATTTTCTAAGCGAAGCACGTGGTTTTAGCATTTTCGTGTACCAGCTCTAGTGAAATAGTTTTGTTTTAAAACGTCGAAGAAAGGCCAACGAAGCCAGCGAACTACAAGTCGTCAGTTCGAGATGCTCGTTAATTTTATGGAAGACAACACTAAATTAATGTCAGGGAAGTTAGATACTTCCTTTACCATAAAAGATCGCCAGAAATTGTGGCAAGAATAGCCGACTGTCTGAATTCCGATGGAATCGGCTCACAAAAAGACCCAGAAAGAAGGCAAAAAGTAATTGCTAGCTTTGAATATAAATATATGACTATCATTTTAATTTATACACATGCGAATGAAACCTATTTCAGAAATAATGTTCATGCTATAGTTACTTACTTAAATTTTAACAAGAAAGCAATTACACTATTCATATAACATTCATAAACATTTAAGGCAATTACTGTATTTTTAAGCAATACAACAACATAGTTTATTAACTCTCTCTCTAATTGCTCGTGAAGTAAAACCATTCTTACACCAAAAGACGCCGTGTTTGCACTTTCGTTGCGTTCCTAACGGCAAAGTGGTCGATAACAAAAGCTTAGTTATCGCACGTAGCTATCGGCACCGAAAACGAAACGTACGGCTCGGAATAGCATTCACAGTTGAATCACATGGTTCCGATAGAAACTGATTTTTATCGTATTCGTTAGCTTAACGATACTACTTAGAATAAGACCCCTGATCTGTAATACACGCTGGGTTACAGCGAAGACTTCTGCATAGAAGCCGGTCTCTGGAGATTTCCCAGCCGACCGCTCTCGTCACTTTTTCACATTTAGTTGTTGTTTGTTAAGTTATGGCAACGTAACACTTGGGCGATCTGCCTAGGGGGATGTCTTCCGGGAGGTCTTTTCTTTAAGAAAAACTGGGCCCTATTTAGGCATTACAGACGTGGCCAGCCCCGTCCGAGCGAGGCGCGAACCCACGACCGAACTCCTAGCGTTCAGAGTACGAAGATCGCTTGGCCACTGGTGGACCTAGATTCGTGTTAGATATGCATTACGGGTTAACATCTTAAATTAACGAAAGTGGTCTTTAATTATCCTCTGCATTATCTGAATTTTAAAAAATCTGTTTCTTACTCAATTTTTTCAGTTTTGGTTCATAAGCTGATAGTTTCTATGCCGGATCAATAAGCCAGTTCGGTAAATCGACGTCTGCTATTAGAAGATATATGATACTAATGTTTGACTCCATTTTCAGGTACCGATGAATAAAAATTCAATTCATACAAAGTATTTACATATTCATATTTTGATAAATTCATTGGTATTAATCACACAATAATTGACGTTTCAATATAAACACTATATTTGTTTTTTGAAACCATGTCCTGTTTTATATTTGTGGCGTAGTAAACACTAGTATTGTGTTTTATTCCAAAGACACATGGCAAATTTTCCATCAAATTCCTTTAACTTTCGACTCAACTAATAAAGGAATTTGATGGAAAATTTGCCATGTGTCTTTGGAATAAAACACGATACTAGTGTTTACTACGCCACAAACATAAACACTATACTAATTGAATATTCATCTTCTATTACATTTTTACAAGGAAATTACACGTTTAGTATGTACAAGCATGAAATTTTACCAGATACGTAATATCACACTGATATATCCGTATGTATGTTCTTCAACCTAGTGGATACCTTTTGGCTTAAACACAGCTACACAGCTTTATAAGTGATTTGTCTGCTGGAAATCGTTTACTCGGTTTACTGTGATTCAAAAGACTACAAACCATTCCAAATTCTATACCAAAATTATTAAAATCGAAATAGTGGAATCAATGAAAAGGGCGTGTATCAACGAGTAATACACGCGAATTGTCAGGGTGAAAAGCAAATGATGCAAATGAGGTTGCATTAAGTCGACATTATGCCAGATTCTATTTTGCACCACAATTTTTTAGACCTGAAAAACGCAAAAAAGGAGCACCTTAGATTCGAGAAAACACGAAAAATAAATATGAAAGTTTATTATTATTTTTAATTATTTCGCACTGCGATTGCGTTCTATACCTCTGAGAAATTCAATATTATGAAATTTATAAAACAACACATAAAAACAAGCGGACATAGCACATAAACTTCTAGTTTCTAGTATTCTAGTTTCATTTCCAACATCATAAGAAACATGTTGGAAATGAAACTGAAACTTGTAATTTTCTGTAAGTGGATTCATGGATCTCAGAACTTGCTAAATTCGGGAATAATAAAAGATGAAAATTCAATTCATACAAAGTATTCACATATTTATATTGTGATAAATTCGCTGGTATTAATCACACAATAATTAACGTTTCAATATAAATACTATATTAATTGAATATTCATCTTCTATTATTTCCAAGTTTAGCAATTCCAATCATTCATTTCCATAAATAAACTGTCAGAAAACGAGATAATTATATACGTAGCAAATTTAATTTATTTAGTCTTACAATTCTGTTATTATTTACTATACTCACCCATGTATTCGGCCATATTTTTTATAATATTCCAGCTCTATTATATGTAATTGCTGTGGAAATAAAATAAACTTTGAAAATATTTGTAACACAAACATAACATTTGACATTAAGCTACTGTTTTAAAAATATTTATCAATTAATTATTTAAGTATTTAAACTTAGAAGGAAGATTATATTTTAATAATTTTATTGTATCTATTTTTAATTATAAATATTTACAACAACAGTGCTAGTTTATATTAAATTGTGTGAGAAATAAATTTTTAATAACATATAACACTACAGTATATTGGCTTCTTTGACTAATTTGTTCACTGACGTAAGTGTTTTAATGAAACCAGACTTCTTACAGGAAGAGTATATGGTGGAATGGAAAACACATTACATTATATTAGAAAAGTTTGAAATCCCAAAAATATTAAATATTTGGTACCGTACGAAACAAAAATTTAACGTTGGACAACCATACATTAGCGCTACGCGATTGCCCAAAATCCATTGACGTATCAATGGTTTCGCACAACCATAGACGATATCTGGCTGTGACTATCAAATTATTGTATATGTATTTTAAAATTGTTTCAAATAAAAACGACGCAGGTGCCAGTGGGCCTTCCCTTTCATCCCCTTTCCTATACTTCTTTATAATTTCACTTTCACCTTCTTCTTCTAAAATACCTTTCTTCTTCATTTCACTCCAGGCAATACCTTTGAGTAGTTCTGGTTTCATCCCCTATCTGCTAGAATATCTAGAATGTGACTATGTAATAAATTTCAGTAATTATTATTCAAACTACTCTGTTTCGACGTTTTATTTTTAATCTAACTATTTTGAAACCAGAAACAGTTTGTTTTTCAATTATAAAATCACACTAATTAAAACATTATATTTATTAAGGTAATTTTAAAATTACATAGAGGAGGTACAGTATAAACAAAAAATTACGATGCATTATGGTTTATCATTTCTTTTAATAAACTTTAAAAAATGCAATCATTTTGTAATACTAAATAAGAAATTTTAAAAATCAAACTTCACAAAATTAAGAACCATTAACTATGAGAAGCTACATTAGAACGTGTAATATTTAATTACAAGTTGATTGAATTTATTAATTAATAACGTATCGTTGCCAAAAGATTTTCAACCACAGTTTAAACTGAGCAGCTCTATTTTTACTTTTTAAATTATAATAAAAGAAATCGTAAACAATGTATTTTCTGTTTTAACAATTAAAAACAGAAAAACATTTTTTGATAAATTTGGTACAAATGGAGTATAAATAGATAGTATAAACAATTTATCACAAAATTAATATTTTTATGCAGAATACCTTTTTAAATAACTTAGATGTTTCCAATATAAAACTCCAAATTCCATCAATTGGACATTCAATTCCTTGTCGTTTCCAGTACTGAAGTGTTCTTCTCACATAGCTAAATATATTTAATATGAAGAATAAATTTATATTCACAGAAAATTATGACATAATCTTTAATATAAAATTAAAAAATAAATACTAAACTGAATTATAAATAAATTTAAATAATTTTATAGGCCTGTGATGAGTAGAAATTTATAGATGTCACCGCAAGTGAACTAGGTTCATGGGCTCATAGGGAGACTCGTAGGTTACCGGGCCACACGAATTTTTCTTACGGAGAGATATGTTTTAAATCTGTTTAGCACGAATATACTTTTTAACCGTCAGTACAATAACTGATGATATAATATATCTAATGATATATAAACTAATACTCTATAGTTTAGTCTCATCTTTTCACTGGTCAAGTTGAGTTTAAATGTTCTTCGTTATATATTGAAATTTAGCTTAATGGCTTAATGAAAAATTGCATAATGCAAAAAGACGTAAATAGGAAAATAAAATTATGTTGTGAAAGCCCGGGAGCTTCATATTAGAATCTCGTGTGTCGCGGGTTGCTCATGACTGACTGACATAGATCTTTGAATTTATGTATATAAATAAGTTAATACGAACGCAGACTATTCATTGTTACTGAATTTTAAAAGATTATTTTAAATTAAATTGAAAGTAGGGAATTTTGATCTTTTCTTTAATTTTAATAAACATAATAACTTTTTTATCATGTAAATTTTTATGTTAATTTTTAAACATTTTCAAGTACAGGAGAAGGTGGTATTATGGAACACTGCGGGTATTATGGAACCACCCCATTTCGAACTGATAATAAAGGCGAACTGTAGCGGAATGTGGCTGAACTGAACTAGGCAGACATCCATAGCAAGGGGAAAACCCGTTTTACTTTAGTTAAACGGTTGTCCGCATTTAATCAGCAAATTCGCTTTTTTCAAAATTCGCAAGTTTTGAATGCTAAGTGAATTTAATTATTTTTAAAATATAAAATGTGTAGTTGTAGGTTCACTGGTGCATGTATTCCGTTCCAGGGACTTAGGGGTATATATTAATCTGTGTGATGTTCACGTTTTTTAAATTTTGGTCTTGACAGACATAAGTTAACCCAAGATGAAGATGCGTGAAATACGGACCCCATTGGTGCTTTTACAGTAATATGGAACTCAACTCCTCCGAACTTTCTATTTGCAAGCAGACATTCCTCCAGAACAATTTGTGAAAAAGACACTAGGTAGAAAGCCAATTCTTCCCGAGAATATCGAAAAAGAGCTGCTGGAATATATATTGTTGATGGAGGTCATATTTTTCTATTATAAAAGCATTTTTGCGATAAAATACATTGGAGTAAATAATTTGGTAATTATTTAACATTTTTTGTCTTTTCCTATTTGTTTTTGGCTACATTAAAGCATTTTTTTTTTAAAATATACAGTAAGGTTCCATATTACCACCCGATTTTCTCTAAGCCTACTTTCGGACTTTTTGTACAAAAGCCTTCAAAAACCATACTTATAATTACACTAGAGAAAAATCCAATTAGGAACATTTAGATTACTAGTTACCGTACTTTTCGCACAAAAAATGTGAATGTAGTTATGATACCTTGTTTACAATTCACTAAAATGTAATTAGGGTTCCATAATACCACCTTCTCCTCTATAATTTTATACTTATCTATCATTTAGTTACACCTGTTACATAAATTTTAGATTATTTTTATTTCTTTATCAGATTTTGAACGATTAATCGTAGCAGAAATATAATGCAATTATGCTCGAAAATGATAGATTTCTCACTAGCAATGAGTTATGTACAGTACTTATTATATATTATACGATATTTAGATACATTATCAATATGATTTGTTTTTTCTTATACAGTTTATTCATTAATTTCGTATATAAAAATAATAAATAAATACACCTCAGTTACCATTCTAAATATTACTTCATAAATATGATAAAATACAGTCTCAAAGTTCAATGTCATAAGTGTTTTTTATTTGTCTTTCTTTATCAGCCAAAGATAACCTTAACAATCTAATGATTAGCGATATACTAAAAACAATCACAATTGAATAAAATTAATCTTATTTTGTAAGTTACATTAGAATATTTAAATAATAATATTGTATTTAAAATTTATAATAATATTTTAGTTTTCATTCTGTAAAATTAATTGATTCATACACATAAATTTTAATTACTAAACGTTAAGTCACCGAAAAAAAGTTACTAAATGATCTTCAATTATGGATAAAATTTATTATTGTTCATTCAATGACGTAATTCAATATTTTCCTCAAATCAGACGTCATTTAACAGGATGTAATTCATTAATGCTATTATTTTTTTAATACCGAATAAAATGTTTGGCCTATCATAACTTACTTATGATTATAATATTTNTAAACATAAATCAAATACCATTATATAATATAGTGGAAGGGTTAGCAAAGATTGATTATTTTGTACTTCTGTTATGTTTTGCCTGAGCAACATCTGCTAGTTTAGTGTGAAATAGTTATAAATAATTAGTAGGCAGGTTAAAAACTGTTTTTCCCTGATTTCTCTTTTCAAAATCTATTATAATAAGTTTTGTGTTGTAGGCATTCTTAAATTATATGATGATGAATTTTTTTAAGAAAAATCAAAAATAATTTTTCATTGCTTTTTTTAACACTTTTCATTTATATTATAAATTTCAATCATAGTTTAAAGAACAATACTTAAAAATAAGCTGCTATCATAAATATTAAACAAAATATAAAGTTATTTTCATTTGAAAAAATTATCAGACTGCAGTTTTCAAATTGAAGATATACATTCCTTTTGTCCGTCTGCTCGTCCTTTGTGAATCTCCAGAACGATGCCTGTTAGATAAAAATTGAGACCAGATGTGGAATGCTTAGGAGCCAGAGATCCCAATTAACTATATATATGAACTTCAGTCTAGACCAAAAGTTGCCATTTCAATTCAAAATTTTCTCAAGAACAGTTAAATAGATAACCTCTCGATAACAACCATGTCATACAAAGTATGACGTACAGGGACAAGACACTTCCATATCTGGTCTGCATTTTAGTAAGATTAGAGGCTCAGAGACCCAATTAACTATATATGAACTTCCAGTTGCAATTTTTTAAAATTAAATAATGATTAAAAATTTCAGCTTGGCATTATGATATTTAAAACAGGCAATTATTTGTGATATGTTTCTTTTCATTTGTAGTAATATGTTTTTATTAAAATTTTAAAGCATCTCACTTAGAAATATGTCAGAATTTTTTAGTTAAGATCTTAAAGTATTGATATTTGAGGCAGACTACAAATTAATGTCAACTGACCACAAAAATTGTCAATAAATATAACTTATTTATGAATTCACTACTACTGGTAATTGCAATGTCAATTAGCCAATAATGTTTGTTATTTCATCCATTTTTTATATCATCACCATAGAAATCATGTCATTTGTTTCATACCATCATCATCATCATTATTGTGCCCAACTCACTCATTTCTATATTAAATAATAAAGTGATGTCTTCAATCTTCCAACTAATAGTAATTATGCATTACAGAAAAAATATTTCTGTAACTACTAACATATTTATTGTTGAATCATGAATTGAATCCATTGAGCAAATGGTTGGATGAGTTTTTAATGTTTTATACAAAAGCAATTGCTTCACTAAATCGAAAATATCAATTATAATAGCAGTAGGCATAGAAATATTTGATACTTCATTATTTTCACCAACAAGTAAAAGGCTTTAAATAAATGGCCATATATTCAAACAAAAGGATAATTTCTTTATAAAAGAGCATTAGTAAATATATTATTGATATTTCAGTTATTGTTTTTATTGATTTCAATTCAGTTTTAAAATGGATCATTGCAGTTTATATAACAAATAAGTAATATAATAGTAATTATGTTGGAAAGATTAAAAAAGTTATTCTAATAGAGGAGAAGGTGGTATTATGGAACACTGCGGGTATTATGGAACCACCCCATTTCGAACTGATAATAAAGGCGAACTGTAGCGGAATGTGGCTGAACTGAACTAGGCAGACATCCATAGCAAGGGGAAAACCCGTTTTACTTTAGTTAAACGGTTGTCCGCATTTAATCNGATATCACTACATTAATTAAATCACTACATTAAATAAAACATTACTTTTCACAAATCACTATGCAAGATTTACAACTTTTCTATTCCATTCTAATTTCATTAAAATTTTTACTGGCTGAAAAAGAAAATATAAATGTATTTTCAAAGATTGTGATTTAAAGTGAGTTTTAATTTAAAACACAAAGAATGGTCAATGTTAAAGATAAAAATCAAATGTCAAAGTATACATGTATTTTGGTACTGTTCGGTTAACGGGATGCCAGCCAATACAAGTTCTGAGTTTCACGCCACCCCAGAATTGTTGACCCTTTGCATGATATTCATCTCCAAAGGTCAGTTTTTAACATGCAGTCCACTGCCTATTCTACATGCTTCACATGTAGATGTGTGAATGATAGATTACACCAAGGCACATGGATGGGGTAAGTCTCTACACCCTCTTAACAATTTAGCCCACATCACTGTTCATGGAGTACTTGATGTTATATAGTTTTAAACGCAATAGTTTTCTGGCATATCATTAACAGAAAAGTACGGTACCTGTATTTTTATATTGGCTACTTATTCCTAAACCATCCTCTAGTACTTTATCAACACCCCAAACAAATTCACTGATCTGTTCCAGTCTGACTTACATAATAGATGATTATTAATTCTGTTGTCTTTTTATTCTGTTAAAATTTGTTAAGCATGGATGATGATGTTAATTTATCTTATCCTACAGAAACAAAGATCCTACAAATTAAAGTTTACTTGCAGGCAACATAATGCATATATGGTATACATGCAAATTATTTTAAATTAAACTAGAATTTCCATATAGTAATGGGACTTATTACACTAGTATGATTGATTGAACACAGAGGGATATTATGGATGAAAAACAGATAAAGATGTTTTGGGTTAAATAGGTAAAAGTGCACCTTCCTTTTATGTTTTGGATCCTTGATCCCTTAGCAACAGGTTTACAATGATTGTCTTAAAATAATATTTGTCAACTATCATTGTTAATTATGCCTCTGTCCTTAATTCTTAAGCAGTAGTAAAAATTAAAACAGTTTAGTTTTAGTGTTTATAATTAAAACTGTCTTAAAATAATATTTGTCAACTGTTTTAATTATAAACACTAAAACTAAACTGTTTTAATTTTTACTACTGCTTAAGAATTAAGGACAGAGGCATAATAAATAATGATAGTTGACAAATATTATTTTAAGACAATCATTGTAAACCTGTTGCTAAGGGATCAAGGATCCAAAACATAAAAGGAAGGTGCACTTTTACCTATTTAACCCAAAACATCTTTATCTGTTTTTCATCCATAATATCCCTCTGTGTTCAATCAATCATACTAGTGTAATAAGTCCCATTACTATATGGAAATTCTAGTTTAATTTAAAATAATTTGCATGTATACCATATATGCATTATGTTGCCTGCAAGTAAACTTTAATTTGTAGGATCTTTGTTTCTGTAGGATAAGATAAATTAACATCATCATCCATGCTTAACAAATTTTAACAGAATAAAAAGACAACAGAATTAATAATCATCTATTATGTAAGTCAGACTGGAACAGATCAGTGAATTTGTTTGGGGTGTTGATAAAGTACTAGAGGATGGTTTAGGAATAAGTAGCCAATATAAAAATACAGGTACCGTACTTTTCTGTTAATGATATGCCAGAAAACTATTGCGTTTAAAACTATATAACATCAAGTACTCCATGAACAGTGATGTGGGCTAAATTGTTAAGAGGGTGTAGAGACTTACCCCATCCATGTGCCTTGGTGTAATCTATCATTCACACATCTACATGTGAAGCATGTAGAATAGGCAGTGGACTGCATGTTAAAAACTGACCTTTGGAGATGAATATCATGCAAAGGGTCAACAATTCTGGGGTGGCGTGAAACTCAGAACTTGTATTGGCTGGCATCCCGTTAACCGAACAGTACCAAAATACATGTATACTTTGACATTTGATTTTTATCTTTAACATTGACCATTCTTTGTGTTTTAAATTAAAACTCACTTTAAGTCACAATCTTTGAAAATACATTTATATTTTCTTTTTCAGCCAGTAAAAATTTTAATGAAATTAGAATGGAATAGAAAAGTTGTAAATCTTGCATAGTGATTTGTGAAAAGTAATGTTTTATTTAATGTAGTGATTTAATTAATGTAGTGATATCTTGAACAAACATATGATGATGCAATATAAATAAAAAAATTGCAATTTCACAGTACTTTAGGTCTGTAATTAACAGAAATTAAAATTAAATTTAGTAAGGTTGAATTTGTGATTTCTTTTTTTTGAGGTTGATCTGGTTTAATGATATTGAAAACATTTTAGATAATCTTTTTAATAATTTTTATGTTGCAAATTTGATAAAGATAAATTTTGATTTGATTGTAAAAACATCTCACAATAAAATATAAAATATGACCGATTTATTTTAAAAAAGCTAGGAAATTTTTGGATGTAACATTAGTTAAATAAATTACTTTTACTAAATATTCTCAGTTTGTCTGAATATACACTTCAAATAAAATTTTCATAACTTAAATTAGTTAAACAAAAATGTTTTTTGTCTCGAAATTAAAATTTTTCGGATGGTCGATTTTAATCACCAATGAAATTTAAAGTACTCTCGAAATAATCCACACCGCTTTTTCTGGCGGCAATGTCAACAAAGAAAGACACAAATGTACATTAAGATACATATTGCCACCAAAAGTCGTGTAATATATATATATGTACAACAGTCATTTTAAATCCCATTAACAAACATGCATACATAAATTCATTGTTTGCAAAATCCTTTGAGATCAAGACTCTTTTGAACATTTGAGGCAAAGAACTTACAAACCATAGTCCAACATCTCTTTGGTGGACAGAGTGAAAACAATGTCGAGTAAATCAAGAGTATGGCACGTGTCGGGAACATACGAGACATCTAGAAGTATTGAGTGGAAGAGCCGAGAAAATAAAAATGTCATTTGAAAATGTCTGATCGTCTGTCTGAAGTTTACAGAATTAGAGAAATAGATGATGTAATTGTTTCTATATAAACTTTTGCTTGGTAAAATGTTGACACTGTATTGCCAATTATTTAGAAGTGCAGCAATGGCACTAAAATTCTAAGAGAAGTCGAAAGAGAACGGAAAATCAAATTTTTAAAAATGGGCATATTGCAGATGTGCGCACACAAATTTACATACGTACATACAGTACATACATACATATACACATATAAATGTTTGATTATGCAATTTACAGAAAATGCTAGCAGTTTGTACTGAGATGACTCAGTTTGTGGCAGTTGTAGTTACGATGTGTTCCGTCACCGTGTAACCTGCTTACCACTCCTTTGTCTTCCAGTACTGCCATTAAATGAACATTATCACTAGAATACCTCGTCACATCCGAATGACCAACTGGATACTGTACCAATTCTTCCATCGATTGGAAGTTTGCAGCAGACTGAGTTTGACAAGGGTCACATACACTTGTTCCCGAAGCACTGCTAATGGACGATCTAACAGAGATTTGGTCTTTTATTTCTGGCATACTGCTGGTCGCCCGCTCGTAATCTACTGGTTCTCGATGTTGAATGGCCAAATGGTTGACTCGGCGGTGTCTCTCTCGTGAAGATGGAAGAGAAGAATGTCTTGGCACAGAATTCAATACATGTGCCAACGAAGTGATGGCATTTCTCTCCGGTAGGGCTGGCGGCAGAAGAGGATGATGATGATCGGGCTCAGCATTGCTGCTAGCAGAAGAGTTGTGGCTTGCACTGGAATGGTGACGTATGTGCCCCTGACACGGCTTGCACCTTACCATTGTTGATTTATGAGCATCTTGTAGTGCTTCGTCTTCAATACTTTCATAAATATGATCACCCATGCATTGAGTTTTGTTGTTTTCTGAGAGATGTCCATAAGGTTGACCTTGAATATCTGCTGCTACTCCTAACTTATTACAATATTCTGTGACACATTCAGAATCAATTACTGAACAATCGGCCATTGACAAATCATCTATATTACCACAATGAGACTTATTGAGATGGCGGGTTCTTTGAAAAGAACGTCCGCAAGTATTAGATCTGTTGTGCGGGAGTGTCATTTCTTGTCCATGTTGAAAAGCTATTGGCTGCTGACTCTGATCTGAAATTACAAAATTTATTGTAAAACTGCACATCGCTTTTACAACAACAATCTAAGCATTATTACCTTGTGAACTTGATTTTAAAACTGAAGTACTAGTTGATGATTTTCTATCTTTTCTGTAACTCCAGGATTGACGAGGTGACTGAAAAATTGACTTAAATTTTAGAATTTCGCTTTACAATGTTGTATTATACTATATTTAGAAACATTACTCACACTTTGATCTCCAGAGGTTGGTGGTGCAGACACTGTGCCATTTGACTGAACATAGAAACTTGATTTTCTTTCTTGATTTCTTGTTCTTTTGAAACAATAAGGTAACCATTGTCTTTGTCTGACAAATTTTTGATATTCTTTTTGTACCTAATGTTAAAGAAAGAAAGTTACATTCAGAATTTTAAACACCACACTTATTTTTCAATAAATAAAATGACAGAATTTTTATATATGCCTTATATTTTATATACCTTGTCATTCTTGACACAGTGGAAGATGAAAATGAACAAACCCTGAAGGCTATTGAGCACTGTAAATACATAAGCCATTACAACAGATTCCTGATTCAAATATAATAATCCAAAAGTCCATGTCAAGCCCAGTAAAAATATCAAAACCATTGCTCCACGAATCCATGCCCTACAAAAACAATTTTTCCAATAAATATCAAACTGAAATTATTTTAATACATTTTTTTTAAATAAAATGATCAGAAAAACCAAAATGTTTGTCTTACATAATAACAATTCTTTGTTGTGAGTTGGGATCCTCACTTAAGAATGCATGAAGTAAAAAGCATTTTATTTAATTCAAGTATGAAATTATGTATATACATTACAAGAAAATTTACATAATACTATTCTTAGAAATTTTGTAGTGTAATAAATAATTTTACAAATAAAGACATTCTCCAACTTTTGGACATATTACATTCCTGAAAAGTGTACAAAAGTTTATTGTTAGAGAAGAGATTTTATAATGTTTCTTTTAGTTACAGTAGAGAAGTTTTGCTTTAAAGATATTACTGTAATAATAAAGAGTAATGCTTATATTCTTTATTGTCTATGTTAAAACTGATTTTTACAAATCATTTTGTGTTACCAAAATCAAAACAGTCAGATTGAAATCATGTGGTTTTGATTGATTTTGGTAACAGCTAAAAACAAACATACAAAAGTCTAAATTTGATGTAGAGCACAAAAATGATTTAGAGGTATATGAGCAAAAATTATTGTGATATTGTCACAATGTCAAGCTGCAATTTTTAATCATATTCTTAATTTATTTAATTTAAAATATATATATTTTAAATCTCAAATTAGTAGTGTTTTCCCTGTACATCATACTTTTCCTGACAACAACAGAGTCATGCCGGTCGTCTACATAACTCCATTCAGTGGAATCTTTTTTAATTGAAATCACATGACTTCTGATCTAAACTGGAAGTTCCTACATAGTTAATCGAGATCTCCTGCTCTTAAATTTTCCATATCTGGTCTTGATTTTCATTGATCTAACACCATTTTCAAGATTAAGGACAGATGACAGTGGGAATTTATGGATCTACAGTTTTTTCAAATTGCAGCCCAAAAAAAAATTGTAAACAATAGAGTGAGTTGTCTGAAAGCTGAGGACTGTCCATATATAATTTTTAGAAGTTTGAAAGAAAGAATGCTGATTTTAAAGTCATACTTATTTTAATAATTTGAGATGTAAATAATACTACTCCTGTTTTTTAATATATCAATAATTTATCTAACATAATTTATTAATTTAATTTCTTAAATAATACTATCTACATATAATAAATTAATTTTTAGTATTGAAAAATATACAAAAAAAAACATCTAACAACTTCTTTCATGATATCACTAGTACTTAGTTTTTAATATAAATTTTAATAAATATAGTTTTTATTGAGTATATATTAATTCGGTATATGCACTATGTTTATAAAATAATGCAGATTTGTTTTGTATCAAAAACAAAATATCCGTAAAATCCTTGTTCACTTAAATACATTTCATAGTTATATATATTATGGTTTTGAATTCCATAAATATATAAATTTTATTTCAATTATGATTTGGTTCACTTGCAATTTTGGCACAAAGATGGTTTGAAGAGAAAACCATACTTTTAATATACTCTTCTAGACTTTCAGTATAGTTCAATGAGTAAAACTCTTCCAGAGGAGGACTGATTTGTTAATTTCCAATAGTAAAATTATTTTTATCCTAAAAATTTCGACTTTAAAGTGAAAGATTTTATGTACATCCTGTATATATATATATCCTTTCATTTCATTCTGATTAAACAATTTTTTTTTTGTTAATAATCTTTAACAAAAACTATGTTCTAAAAATTAATTAGTCAGTTACCTATACTTAAAACAAAAGAGGGAGAAAATTTATCATATATATTTGATAGAAAAACAAATTTCTAACCTCAAATTGGTCAATTTCGCATGTTCTTTATTCTTGAGAGCAGTTACTAAATTTGCATGACGACACATCATGTAAATGGCAACGTTTATGAACACTACATTAGCCTGATGAAAGAAAAACATTGAATTTAATATTTTATTTCTAGTATAAAATGTACTAAAATAGCAAAAAGAATTTCTTTAGTTTAAAAATTAATGTTATAATAATTTAAACAGTTTTAACACATGAAAATAGTTTATTTAGTTTGTCACATTTAAACAAGTCATTTTAGTTAGTGAATTAATGTTCAGCAGTTTAGAACTAATTTTTTAAGACGCATTAGGATATATATGTCAAATTATACAGGATATTTCAAATAATGACATCTTTGAATAAAGCAAAATAAACCAGTAAAATCAACTGCTGTATTCCAATGAATTTTTTCAGGATTGTGCACAATTTACTATTTGAGAACCATCTGGAATGCTTGATTGCCAATATGTAAGAGGACTTGTTTAAATGTGACAAGTGCTGATTGCTAAATCACTCAGATCATATTTGAGCTGAGATTTTTTTCACAGCTGTTGTTAAATGTGTTAATCAAAAATGTCAGAAAAGAACCTCCTTGTTATAGTATATAGATACTACCAGTGTGAAAGCATGCAAGTACATGGTTATACATATTTTAAAAGCATATGACCAGTAGAAAAATAATTATTTGTAAAAACTGATTTTACATAACAAAAATTCATTCAACAAATATCTCTTGCTTTCTAATCATCTTTACACATGAGTTTATGACTACTCCATAAGCCTTGCATTCTGTGGTACAGGGAGTGAAATTTTGGGATTAAATACATCATTTTTACATAATTGCTAATTTATATGTACTAAAAAGGGAAAATAATTATATCTTGCTAAACTACTTCAGAGTTATAATAAAAGAGCCAGTCTTTTAAACCAGCAGAAAATTACTTGACAGGTACTTTCGATCTAATTACAGATAGTCTTTGGGTCTACTTGATAACTTGTCGAGCGGATCTGATGATGATCTGTAATTAGATCGAAAGTACCCGTCAAGTAAAATAATTTTCTGCCAGTATAAAAGACCAGCTCTTTATTATTTTCTCATTCATACAGAAATTTCAAGATAACTGCAATTTGTTGCAATTCTTAATTTAAAATAATCAAGTAAGTAGTTTCACTCTTTCTAAACTTTCAATATCAGTTCGTAAATATAATGTCTGTCCATAAGTGAGATTATTTTGGATAATATTGTATGGAAGAATATATAAAGTTTTTAGATAGTCTTCAATTTTATGAACTAACTTCATCATGCATTTAAAAATAATAGTTGCCATTCTAAAATATTTGGCAATACAGTAAGAAAACATTTAGTACTGTAGAATTTTAAAAGTTTAAATACATTTACATCTACAATTTTTTCAAACTAATTATTAAAAAAGTCTAGAAATTATAATGATATTTTGCTATCAATTTTATAATATGTAATTTGATATTTTTCATTTAATTCATTCAAAATGAACTAAACATATTGATGAATATATTACATTATGATTTAACTTACAATAGTATTTGCCTTCTCTGTTTGCATAGAATTTCAATAATTCATATAATAGTTATTTTATACATTAGAATTAATTAAACAACAATAAAAAAATGAAATCAAAGGCTAAAGATTAAACATTATAGAACAGGTTAACAAAGATGACTTTGATACTCAATAGTTAAAAACAGGAAAAGAAAAAAATCATGATATAAGTTATGATCTAAAAATGAAAGCAAATTAAATCATAAGAACATGAGCAATTGCTAGTATTAAATATTAGATATATACTTTGATAATCATGGATAGAAGGAAATTTTCTTCCATATTAGCATAAAGTCCAAATAGTTTAGGCTTTCTTTTTTTGTCTAAC